GACACATTTTTTAAGTTGCATTGCTTCTCAGTTACCTTGCGTTCATATATGCGTTTCAAATATTTTCTTTAATTAAAGGCCATAGTCTGGGTTTTGTTGCTTTTCTTGGCGTGCGTAGTCGTTTTTCATTTATTGCGTAAAAGAGCAATTTGTCGCTGTTTATTGTGCGCTTATTATTTCATTGACATTGCCGCAGCAGCCGCAATATTTGTTTCGGATTTTTGCATTGTCCCCTGGACGGGACAACCGCCCACCACCCAGGTTCCACCCAGCCGCCCACTGCCCACTGTCCACTGCCACGCCCACTTTTCGGCAGATACCCACCGCTGGGAAATAGCATCAAAATGAAACACGAGCTTTTAATTGAATTGACTTCATGTTGTCTCCGTTCGGAAACTGAGCAGCTGGGAAACTGATAAACTGATAAACTGGTAAACTGCGAAACTGAGCAGGAGCAAGCTGGGCCAGTGGGGTTTTCCTCCAGACGTCCAGAGATTTTCCGGCTTAGTGGTAGACTTGCACGTGAGTGCCGAGCGCTGTCTTGTCCTCTGCCATCCGTGCGCTTTTCTATAGCTGCGTCCACGTGCCTGGAAAATTTGCCATTTCCTTTGGTTTTTCCACCGCTCGTTAGGCTAAGCCACTTGCCATTTAAATAGTCAGGCCTCAACAGGTTGGCGCAGACGGGAAAAGCGATTCAAGAACTGACTGCGAATGCAATAGGGAGCCTTAGCCTTGTAGTTGGAAAATGGGGGTGGTAAGCTATTCTAAGGGAAAAGTCTGTTCCGTTGAGGCAGCGGGTTCTGTGCTTTTCATGGAAACTTCTGGCACTGAATCCTTATTCTACACACTGAATGCAAATTAGTTGGAATTTGCAATTACTTGCATTATACTCTGCTCCAATTAGGCATATATAATTAAATGGTTCTGCTGCTGTTCTTTCAAATTCCGTTGGGAAAATGCGTACTTTGTTTGCATTTATTTCCATTAACCCAGCCATTTGGTATTTCATGTGCCGGCGATTACCAAAAATATTGCAACATCTTAAAGCGGCCAGACGGCGGCGCCTGTTTTCAGATCCCCATGCCCTATATCTATAACTTGCACCTCCAACAAAACTCCACTCCACTCCACTTCGTTCCATTCCATTCCCGGTTTTCTGGTTTTCTGGTTTTCTTGTACGCTGGAGCTGGAGCTGGATAATGATTTCGCAAGCGCTCCTAATGGGATTTCTGATATTGATCAGATGCTCGCTGGATGAGATTTCTGGCAGCCTGACCCATTTAGGAAGTGGAGCACTCGCACGCACACCTTGCCCGCGGGATTGGGCATAGGCTGTGGGAATGGGGATTCCCCGGGGACTTTTGGCCAGACATTACATAATCCAGAGAGCAGCAATTAAACGCCGATACTTTTCCGCGCCGCACATCGATTTTTTTGTTATCTTAATGAGCAAAGCTACTTAAGCTTAATGTGGAAAAATTTGGGTTACTCCATCTCCATTGCCTGGAGATCGTTTTCCACCGCATATATATATATATTTACTTCTCTCCTTCGCTTGTGCATCTTAAGTGGCCCATTAGAATATGAATGGACGAGTTTTTTGGGGGCTGCAGCAGGGAAGGGGGACTTCTGGCCGCATTGTGCTCATTATTATGTATAATGTATTATGTATTATGCATTATGATTATGTATGGATTTCATTTGTTGTCATTGTCTGCTGCAGTCTCTGCGTTCTCCGGTTCCCGATTCTCAGATTCTCTAATTCTCTGTTTCTCCGATTCCCTATGTGGCTTATTCACGGGAAAGGTGTGAAAGGAGAGTCGTGGCGAGGACAATGCCGGCAAAACGACGAGGAGGTGGTCCACTCTGGCCTGGTCGCTAATGAAGGTACTTTGTGCCCTCGTCAGGGTCTCGGCGGAATTAACACCTACAAGCCGGGGCAGAAAACAGGGAATCAAGCTGGGAGATGAATGGGCTCTGCCAGCGGCAGTGGAGCAACTAATAAATGGCCACAGTTGCAGGTGGGAGACACTTGACTATTATGCATTTGTAAAAGCTAGTTGGTTTTCGGCTTTCCATTTGGCTATCTGGCGATGTGGCCATGTGAAAAAGATGAGCGCAAACGTGATGTTTATCATGGCACTGTACTAATCTGATTTCTAAACTATGGCCAAGAGTTACTGGTAGTTGCAGTCAAGTTGCAAGCCAACCCATATCTGGTCTGCGCCACTCGACCTCCATCAACGCTTTATTAATGATAATCAAACGAAATTAAAATGCGGCCACATTTGATGTCCGGAAAGAGCCGAATGGCCACTGTATCGAGGGCGCCAGTTAACGCAGAGGATTGCCTATGGATCTGTGCATCTATGGATCTGTGGATCTATGGATCTTAATTGAATTAGATCTGCGGACCCATTGCTGCAGCTCCATGTCCAATGGAATTCGGATTGCATTTTCCTTACACTCAGTGGCTGTCTCTGTATATTTTTGAATTTTCATTTCTTTTTTTGTTTTTTTTTTTGGTTCGGTTCCGTTCTGATCTTCGCGGTTCTGGCAATTTGTGGTGTGTGTTTTGGTGCCGGCAAAACAAACAAGCCAGCCCGAAAACAAATTTTCATTAAGCGAAGGCAAGGCAAGAAAAGCAATTCCGTTTCAAAAACTTATCAATGGGTAACGCGTTCCATTCCGCTTTGTACTCAAGAATGGGACACTGAACGAAACTGCAATTACCTCGGTAAGGAATTAGTGCTAGTGTACTAGTACATTCGGTGTAATGTTTCAATCTAAGGGAACGAATAACATGCACAGGTTTATCAAAGAAAAGCATATATTCGTCAATAAAACGCTAAAATTTTTCTCTGTGCACCGATTTCAGCTCGTGCAATGAAAACTCATTTTGGTCGAGTGGATGCGAGACTTTTCCATCGATTCTCATTTAATTGCATTCGATTTCCTGTTGATGCGATCAGCAGATCATTTTAATTCTCGATCGACTGGTCTAAGGATAGCTGCATACTCGTATTACAAATGAAGGCCTTGAAAAATCTACAAGTTTTGAACCTGATGAACTATAATAGTTAGCAAGTTACTGCCAATTTGATAACAAGATACTGCACTACATTTTGTTGATAGCTCATATTTGTTTTATTTTCTTTGGTAAACTTGAAACTGTTGTTAAAACCTTAACCGTATAGAAACCGCAGTTTCACAATTCCGTAGACTACGTCTTAGCGCCTTTATCAATTAACGATTATTTTCACTTTCGCTCACGACTTGGAAAGCTTCTGCCGATCGATCAGCCCTTACCCCTTTTCCATTTCCCATATCCATACATATTTATAACACTTTCATTGGGGCCGCATATGAATTGTGAAAACAGAGACGATTTCTGGGAAAACCCCGTTAAAAATGCATAAAATCAAATCAAACATTCTGGGACAACTTAGCATTCGAAGAGTAATAGTAATAACAATGATCAATAATAAGGTCAGATCTGTTTGGGTCCGAGGAGGAAGAGGAACACCATTTCGTATAGTGGGGCGGCGATAAGAACAGCGCTCTGTGTGGCGTCGTGAAGTGAGCCAAAGAGTCTCAAAGTGTACCAAAGTGATCCAGAGTGTTCCAAAGTGTTCCAAAGTGATCCGAGTGATCTGAAGTGAAGTGGTGACCCCAACGACTTCATTATGCAAATGCAGGCCCGGCACTTCAATCATTTCATTTGCCCATAATTATGAAAGGGCGCCTGCCGTTCTCTTCTGCCCAAAATAAAACCTAACTTTAAGAGTTCTACAGACGCTGCTGTACCTGGTACTTATCGAGCCATTTATTCAGATATTTTCCAGATTGCATAGAGCAACGCTTCAGTTAAAAATCAAAAACTAATAGTTGAAAATAAGGTCACTTTTCGCTCAATCGCCTAATCAATCGAAAACTTAGTATACCCCATTCGTCGGAAGTTACCCTCTTCGAAATGAGAGAAAATCATTTAGGCCACGTTAATAAGCGCACATCTAAGGCCCCCACCATTGTGGATCACCATTTTCATGGGTTTTTAATTAGCGTTCGATTCGAAAAGTAAGGTGACATATCTCCCGACATTTTCCCCAACATCTCCAGACCAATTAATTGAAAATTTTATGCGTGTGTCTAGAAGCATTTTTTATGGCCCACTTGATGGCCGTGTTGAAAGTTTTGGGCCGGGGTCTTTGGGAGAATGGATCACCCCAACCATTGGTTGCCAGCCCGCATAAACCTTTGACCGAGGGCGAAAATACCGCTTACAGAACCCTTGGCATGTCCATGTGTGTGGTCATTTCTGAAATATAGGGATCCTCGTCTGTCCCTGGACCTTTGTCAAGTCGTGAGGCGGAAAAAATGGAAATGAAATAAGCGATAGAGTGGGGAATATTGCATTAATGCAGACCTCGGGCAAAGCACAAAACACAAAAGACAACAGAGAACAGATTTCTTATTTTTACTCTTTTTGCTAAGATTTCATCATGCATATTTATGTTGGATGCATCAGCGGATTGCAGGAGTGGGAACTCTGAAATGGGTTGACAAGTGGGCCGCCGCTTTTTTTTCTGGCTCTCTGTGGGCCATTTGATGGCCAATTGACAGCTGATGCGGTGCGGATCATTAATCACAACCGAAAGGAATCCGCTTTGATGTTGCTCTTTTTTCTGCGAGACTCGTGGCTAAATTATAGGAAATATATAAAAGGGTCAGCAGAAGGATCCGATTGAAATAGGCACGCAAATCGCTATAAAAATTGAGCAAATACGTGATGGGAAATCGCAATTAAATCAAAAATATCGTTGAAACTTAGCTCGAAATTATGTTGTCTTTGATTGAATGCTGTTATAATAGCTATTGCCTGTAATAACTATTTGCCTGAGATAAGTAAATACTTTCCCCAAAAAGTGAATGCACGCTGTAATCATGAGGTCCTGGAGATCCTGGAGATCCTGGTCCCAAACTCGTGCGGCGCCCCTCGCTTTCTTCGCCTTTCTTCGCATTTGGGAAATGCTGGATTATGACGCATTTCTAGTGTTATCTTCTGCGGGCTCGTCGTCCTGTCAGCTGAGCTTTGTTTTTGCCTTGATTTATCTGCGGTTTGCCGGAAAAAGGGGTATATTCCGCTCTGTAATAACCGACATTCCCGAGGGTCGTTTTCCTTTACACTCATTTTCACACGGGTTTTTTTCCATCCCCTGCGCAATTGAGAAATGACTTGTTAATTTTCTAATTACGAAATCATTTTACTTCGTCGTCGCTGGTAACATCGCGTCTCCTACCTGATGCATAGTATATACTATACCATACCTTCTACCTTTTTGGCGGTGCGCCGTTTGAAGAGCCGGATCGAAGGAAGGAGCAGGGGTGGCGGGTGCAGGACCGGCGAGAAACCTGTTTGATTTGTCTTAATTTCTTCCACCAGCCGAAAATTTCATTGCGCCTCTGGCGTTATCGCATAAGTATTTGGGTGCACTGAAATTGTTTATATGTTCAGAATGTTTCACTATTTCGGGGCAAACAAATCGACTCAATGCATTATTTCATATTGTAATACATATTATTTTCCTGTGCACTTTTGTGCGAGCGCCCCTACTGTGCCACGCCCCTTTTTCGTTGGGGGTTCACTATCAGGGCCGGTTCATCAGCATGTGAGCCTGTCTAAGCCTCTTTACCCTCGATGCCCTTCAAGCGGCTGCTCCTCCTGCCTTTCTCTCGTCCGTCTGTTACCCTGTAAAATGAATGTCGAGGATATATGTATAAAAAATATATAGGATATGTGCATGCAGTTAACTTCATATTTAATGTATTCTTAGAATACGAGTATCTACCACATAAATACAATATTAATAAACTATATAGGGTATATTGCAGCTCCATAGCTCCATAGCCCTCTTGTTTTCAATTTATTTATATGCGTATAGTACTGAAAAACAAAAAAGAAAAGAAGAACCACGCAACAACAAAGGGCACAACAAAACATATAAAACACAACGATGGATGTTCTTTACCTGTTCCAGAGTTGTCGTTCTTGTGGCTGTGTTTTTTATCATAATCATTTGTGAACTGAAGCTGTCTCTCAGTCGGTCGTCGTTTTTATACCCATTGCGTTGCGTGTGGTGTGGGTATATTAGATACTCATAGTATTTAAGCACAAGTATCTTTAAAATGTACTCTTCATCGTGGGCTTCTATCTCTACAGAGTTATAATAAACCTAACATTTTATAGCGATTTAATGTCCGTAAAGTTAAACCCATACTAGGATAAAGAACATTGCATAATACAGACTCGCTTAGGTATATTTTAGTCGAAATTTTCAGCCTTAGAACGCAGTACGTTTTTTACTTTATTTCGGCCCTCTGCTGTCCGATGCGTATCTGTATCTCAAAGATACTCGTATCCGTATCTGTGTGGGTCTGCCTGCATGAACGATTTCTGCTTGGCAACTTCAAGTGCGACTGCTTCTGCTGCTGCTGCTGCTGCTTCTGTCTGTTGGTAATCATAATTATCTTTAATTTTAACAGCCAGCCGAGGGGTGGACGAGAAGTGAAGATCAAACTATAGGAAAAAGGAAAAACTAAAAGCGAAATTACATGAATGAACGAACGTGCGGAGCTGTACAACTGTGTGTGTGAGAGTTATCTCCATGATTTCTGTCTCTATACGTCAGGTGAATCGGTAGAAGCAGCAGTACTTGCTAAATACATATTTACCTGGATCTCTGGGGCCGCGACAATGCAGGTGCATTCATTGCCGGCCTGAAAGCTCTAATCATGTTATCACTGCGCACACAACAAACATACGCCCCGTGGTCCCGACTGTTTGCATCCGAAGACAAAGAACTATGTGCCCCGCTTAAAGGGAATCGCTGTGGGACTATAGTTCCAACAACTAGTCAACAAGCTGCGGAGTAAATGAAGGGGAGGCTTTTGAATACTAATTACGTTAGCCCATTGCATTGAATTATCGAATTACTTGTTTACCTATTTAAAATCTCATATTTAAGGATAGAAATATTTGTTCTCCTTGCAAAAACCATGTTAATTGCTGAAAGTTGTTCATTATTAGTCAAGTAACGAAAGCAACTATCCTTGCATTTTCATAGCCGAGAATCTCAGTTTCAGTACAAGCCTGTCGAGCATGTTGTATGACACTCATCAAACATGTCAAAGGGAACATGTTTCCAAATCGTAGTAACAGGCGCACAGAATCGGCGAACAGCAAACACACACGGTTACTATGCTTAGGAACGTAACTACCGCAAAATTTTGCCAAACATGCGCAGAACATCAACGGAAGTCAAAATGATGGGCCTTCCTCATTTCAATACACCAAAAGAAAATACATATGCTGAAACAAGTCAAGGGCATTGTTCGACGATGAAAAACGTAACAGCAGTTACAAGAACACCTCTGTTACGTACACTTCGAAATCAGTGGAACATGTGATTTTCGCTTACTGTTTCTCGCTGTGTACGTGTGCTTGTGTGGGTGGTGAGGCAATAATTCGCGACGCGACTGTACGCAACTGTTGCATTTTGCACTTGAGTTTTCATTTTCCTCGTCCGTCAACGCCTTGTGGCTATTATTTTTTGGCTTCTACTCCCTATATGCACGAACATATTTTTCTGTAGGTGCTGCTTGGTTTGTTTATTTTCTTGTGTACTGGCCGCAATTGAGAATTTCTGTGGAGAATAGGAACACAGGCAGGAACAATGGGCGAGAAAGGGATGGAGCGAACTTCAAGTGCAGCGACAGTTTAGCAAAGAAAACAAAGCCAAAGTAGAAGGCGGGGGTGTGGCAAACCGATGCTAAAGCAGAAGAGCAATACGAGTAAATGATGAAGAAGAGACTGAAGAAGCAACGGCGACAAAACAACAACAGATGCAGCAATTTCCGGTGCTATTGTTCTCAATCGGCTAACGCCATCTCCTCTCCCTTTCCCTCTGCCGCACTTCCCGCCTCGTTGCGTCTCGTTTCTACACATATCCATCGCTGTCTGCTGGTGAAGTTTTTTTTTTTGCGCAGACGCGACTGTTTTGTGAGCTCCTCTTTGCACATGCGGGTGCGTCATGCAAAATAGCAGCGGTGCGAGGGAGAGGAAAAGAGATGTGCATAGCGGCCAGCTTCCCTCTCCCTTCGTCTCACACAGAGTGCAGCGGCTGCGTCTGCGTCGTAAAAATATCACAATAAGAGGGGGAACTTGGAAAATATCCTGGCAGATCCTTTTGGACCAAGTCTTCCAACAAAATTGACAGGAAGTAACCTATATATTCTATATATTCTGTAAACTGGTACCACAATAACGAGAAAAGTACACATCCCACTTGCTAATGAGAAGCCGAATAAGCAACCTACATACACTACATACCTACATTCATATATACATATGTATAATAAACACCCAATTTGCACAATATGTGGTAAGCTTCGCGAGAAAATTCAGAACATCTACATACATACATATGTACATGCATAAATTCACACAATGCGAAATAAATTGGTGGTTTTCTGGCGTTTCGGCGAAACTAACTATTATGTTATTACCGCCCACCCCTTCCACGCATCACCATCGACGCCAAGAAGAAGTTCATTCATAAAATCAGGCCCCTACAGTGGCGTCCAATGTAGCGGACACAAGTAAAAAATATCCCGGAAAGTATCGGAAAAACTTTGTGACCATCCATTGATCTCTTGTTAATGTTTAACGAATGCAGCAGTTGTAAACAACGTATCGGTTTTAGGGAGCTCAAAACATTCTATCGCTTAATATTTGTAGCAATAGCAGGGAGTAACCATTTGCTGGCGCGCACTGTATGCGGTGAGCGAGAGAGCGCACGAGAGGGAGAAGCGCAGTGTTGTCCACTTGGCGATTTTGTGGCCACAATACTGTTGAGTAAACATAACTGATCTCTTCGAAATATTTTTAGCCTAATATTAAAACGGTAGTGTTGTAGCTCCGCCTATTTCAATTGGAATTCATTATTTTGCTTTCGAAAAACCATCTTTCACTGAATCGTATGAATGAGTAGTAACTAGTTTGTCGTCATACAAACATTATCAAAAAATAAATTGGTGGGTAATAAATTAGGCTGATGCTTAGTAAACCTAGTGGCCTAGAGGCTCACCGTCGTATATAAAACCATATTAACCACAATTATTGGTAGCTGTCTTCAGACTATCTTTATATCTGTTATTTTCCTGCTGGACCCCTAGCTCTAGCTACTTTCAAGCTGCCCCCCAGAATCCTAGCTACTTGTTGCCGCTGCGAGCGCGCATCTCTGGCGAGAGAGCGTGAAAGAGAGCCGTGCGGCGTGAGAACTGTTGGTGTCTGTTTTGCGTTTTCTGTTGCTTTCGAACTTTCGTCGTGAGCGGTTCGTTCGCTGTATCGCGCGCGTCTGCGTTTGAATATTTTTGAAAAACGCTTGCGTTCAAGTGCAATTGCAATCGTGCCAAATCGCTGAGAATACTAGAATCGAATTCGAAAATCTGCTGATTCAAATCGCCGAAGAACAAAATCATTTTTTTGCTCTGCGCGAGTGCTCAAGAATTCATATTATTTTTTGTGGCAAGAGCAACAAGTGCGAACCAAAGAACCAGCCCGAAACGTGCTGCAAATGATTAATGTTTTTATGCGGTTTTCGTCGCAACAACACAGCTGTCAATAAATGCAACAAAAAAGCAGCAAAACAAAAGTGCAGTGGACTCGAAAAAAATGAAGCGATCGCCTCTAGAATAGAAACAAGGAGCGAATCAAATACAGTAAAAGAAAGGAGAATAAAAGAAAATAAAAGAGAACAGAACCGAACCGATCAGAACAGAACAGAGCAGAGCAGAGCAGAACAGAAACAAGAACAACTCATCAACGTCGGCTCAAAAAGGTAAAAACAAATCCCAAATAGAGAGGTGGGGAACGAGATGGAGGTAAAAGTGCATGGGGAGATGGGAATTACGATTACGATTACGATCTGATCTGAGATTAAAAATCGATCTGTGACTAATTTGTGTGTAAGCCAGTGTTCGCAGCACTCTGTGCATTTGTGTGCAATTAAACTTGGTTTATTTCATTGCCTCCTCTCTTATTTTCTTACTTTTCTTATTGATAATTGCGGCAGTCCTTTTGCGCCCCCTCCCCTCTCCACCTAATTTACGATCCAGCGATCGAAAGAGAGGGGCCGAGAGCTTCCTGCACTTAACCCTTTTGCCCCCGCAATCCACCTCCTCTGCTCACGAGACCCTTACCCTTATTTATTGTTGTAATTTTTCTTGGCCCTCGAAAGTACGCCCGAAATCCAAGTTGCATATTTAAAAATTCAACACGCAGTTGCATTTTAATTTCTTTCCTGGAACTATTCTTGCCAGAAAGAAAGAACCTGAAGAAGGTGGAAATAAAAAACCCGAACGAAAGCGATAAAGAAATCAAAATCATCGTGCGAGTGTGTTTGTGCGTGTATGTGGGGCTGCAATTGCCCCCCTCCCCCCATCCGGATAAGAAACCCTTTTCTCCTTAAAAACGGTGAGCGAAAAATCAGATAGCCTCAGGGATAAATCCCAAAAAAAAAAAAAAACTGGACAGGAATGTAAGACTCTCTTCGGAAATCGATGGTTTTAACACCCTTTATGCGCCATCCAGAAATTGCCTATATTTCGCACAATACTATTACACCTTATAATACTTAAGTGCACCGAGTTTCATGTCTCTACCTTTCCAATAAGCACGTTACTTAGTGGGCATAATTTCAAAATTAGCTGCGCTAATTTTACTATAGCTGTGTGCTATTTCAGCGTTTGATTTAAAAGTAGAATAGCTATGATGGATCTATTTTTAAACGTGCACAATAAAATTATACCCATTTCAAGGGTATTTTAATGTACAGCAAAAACTCGCCAAATAAAAGCAATGGGCAGAAATTCAGCCGCAACTCGATGGCCATAACGTATCAAGTGCACTTCGTGCTGCTTTCAATTTTGGCCTCTGGCTAAACCAACAAAACTATATGCAACGCATCCAAAGACCTGCAATTGATCCGCATTCCCGGTACCCCCTGAAAATACCCTATACCCTATACAAGTACCGTGGTCTCTTGATTGCTGAAAGCATTTTTCATTAGCTAAAATATCTGATTAATCACTGCTTCTCGCTTTTAGTTGATTTAACCCAATGAAAGCCTTTGAATGCTGGAACTGCAAAGATTTCTTTGAGATAATCAAATGAACCAGAAATACGAAGGAGCTAATTAGTTTGCACTAATTAAACATTTCATTAATT